CAGCTTACCACATCGCATCCTCTATTAGATAGCTCAATCCTCCAAGAAATACTTTATGATTTTGTAAAAGAGTTTTTTTCTTTAGGCTTTGTCACATACATAACATCAAAAAAATCTTGCCTTTGAGTCTTGGCTCAGGGATAAATTCTCAGACACAAATTAGGGTTTCACCCAAGATGGAAGGTATGTTTTATGAAATTGTTTGAACAAGCTGTAAAATTGCTTTTGAATATAAGTACTGGCCCTGAGAAGCAATGGCTGTCCCTTCCTAAGTGTTCCGGTTCCACTGTTTCATCACCTCTTCTGGAAATGAGACCCTATCTTAGTTGTCAGTAGTTCATGCAGAAAGAAGTACCATCAGATTACAATTTGCCAAACTCTACCATCCCACAGAGCTATTTTAGGAATAATAAGAAAACTTTATCCAGTAGATTCTTCATCTGGATAAATGATTTAAGAAATGCCCTGAAATCCATCCATAAAAACCTGGTCGTTTTAGGGTATGTATTAAACCCTGGGAGAGTATTAAATCAGGAGCTAACATGTCACCTCCCCAAATGTTAATTGAAGCACACCAGCTTGAATTACTGTCTTACCTCCTTTCAAGGAAGAAAGCAAATTGGCATCCCCTCCTAGAGTTAATACAGACGTGAAGTTCTTTTGTTCTCTAAGTTACTTGTGGATGAATCAGTGTTCCATGGCAGACTCAGTAGTGTGTTCATTGCCCTCTGAGGACCTAAATGTATTGAAATAATCTCAACGGTACAAAATCCTGAGCTGAAGAGTAAAATTCCGTTCCATAATGGTTCATCTTAATACTTCAAATAAACAAATCCTGACCTAATTTATCAAAGCTTACTTTTTTCTCCATCGGTATTAGCCCCTAATCTCAAGAGTAGGTGACAAGCTGAATGAAATACTGTTCTCCCAGCCTCATCAACTAGAAATAAATTCTGGGATTGCCCTTTCCAATGAGAAATAAACAGTGCCTCTCTCCCTTAGGTGAAAGTGTGGAAGAAAACGCGAGCGTCGTGGTCAAGCTGCTCATCAGACGCCCAGAGTGCTTCGGCCCAGCCCTGCGGGGTGAGGGAGGAAACGGCCTCTTGGCAGCCATGCAGGGGGCCATTAAGATCTCTGAGAACCCGGCGCTCGACCTCCCCTCTCAGGGATACAAGAGGGAAGTGTAAGTGAATGGAATTGCCCTTTAGCGTGGAGATGGGTGGTGAGCTCCCAAATATTGTCAGTACGTGGATGAAGAAGGCGGTGATAGAGAAAACGCAGGTTCTTAACAGTTGTACTTAAAACACTTAAAATCACTCCATCAAGCACATTGTTGTCTTGACTCTCCCAGGAAGCCTAGTGATCGGTTTCACCTTCACCCTCTTGGGTTTTCTCTACTCCACTCAGCCCAACTGGCAAAGCACAAGGCAGCAAACCCTTAGCCTCCCTGCAGCACCACCACAGGAGTACACCAAGAGGCCTGCACCAGGGTTACAGTCCTTATCTCACTCCAGCATGTTTCCTTCCTCTTCTGAAAGCGTGAGGACTAATCAGGAAAGCATTTTGATTTCTTAGCGGGTAAAAAAAAAAAGTTGCAGAATGTGAAAAGTCACAGCATTAATAATCTTGGGATTTGAAGATTAAGGATATAGCTGGTGAATTACCTGATTGCCTTGTTACTTTTGGGTTACTATGTCTTGTGATCATTTCCCATTCCTTATCACACCCTCTAGAGTAGATCTTAGAATCTAGAGACTGGGTACAACCCAGCACAGGTAACTCTCTAGGCAATTGGCTTCTTTCTTTGTCATCAGTTTTGGTAGGTGACCTGCTAGACCTGGAAAGAACCCAAAACATATACCGTCCCAACTTTTTCATGTAACGTGAGAAAAAAACTGAGGCGCAAGGCCATATAGCTTATTAACAACAGAGCCAGGACATGGACTTAGCCCTCCTGACTACTTGCCCAATGTCCTGTCCACATGTATTCCCTTCACAGGGAGGAAAAGGGAGGAATGATTGGTAGGAGGTGTGGTGTGCATGATCAGCCCAGATCAGTACTCATGCCTTAAAGTTCATGGGATCCTAGAAATGTCAGGGGCAAATACCGAGTCCTTTGAGCTTAATGAATAAAACCACCTCTTCAACTTCTGCAGAGACAAGGGTTCCAAGGGAAAGGATGTATGATGCCCAAAAAGAGCAGTATTTCCATATCAAGCCGTCCGTGTCCAATAACATGGCAGCACCTGCCAGGCTTCATCACACTCACACTCCCCTATGTTCATTCTCTCCGCAGCACGGAAGACAATGAAGAGGAAGAAGAAATTGTGCACATGGGCAATGCAATTATGTCATTTTATTCGGCCCTTATAGATCTACTGGGCCGCTGTGCTCCTGAAATGCACGTAAGTGATAGAGCTCCCAGAGAGTAACTTTTTGAGAAGCCTGTGCCACAAACACTGTAGATTTCCTGAATATAATTTCTTCCTCCATCTCTGCAATTTGCTAAATTCCTTTCTGTAGGTAACATCAAAAGTGATTTCCATCTCTAATACCTGATTCTTCAGCTTGCGAAAGAAGGGCTCCTGGGCAGTTCTTTGTGTTGTGTGATTTCTCTATGCACTCATAGAGCATATCCTCTACACATTTTGTTTCAAACGCCTCCCAAAATTGTTTCCATGTGCATCAATTTGGTCCAGCTTGATTCTTTGGTTTTTTTTGTTGTTGTTTTTTGTTTTTGTTTTTGTTTTTTTTTTGAGACAGAGTCTCACTCTTTTGCCCGGGCTAGAGTGAGTGCCGTAACGTCAGCCTAGCTCACAGCAACCTCAAACTCCTGGGCTCAAG